AAACTGTCCAGATGACCTGACTGAACATTGTTGGCTTAAAAATAACTTTTTTTTAGGTTTGACCAAAAAGTCTTCATTCTCAACACAAGAAAATTTTAGTTTAAAACTTGCATGAACCACAGTGACTGATGTGTATTATTTAAAGAAATGATTTGCCTTAATTTAGAAAATGTTTTAAAATAAAATATTCTTCTTAATTGCTACGGATAAACTTTACAGATACACACTGCTAATTATATTTTAAAATATTTTCTAACTTTGAAATTTAGCTTTGTTTCTTTTTCCTCTGTCCTGTCTTTATTCCATACCATTATGGTCATTTTAACTACAGAAACGTGCTCCTGCCGTCTCCACCCACGGCACTCCCTCTCCCCTTTATTAAAATTTGATGAGTTTTTATGAACTGAAGTCAGTACATTGAGCAGTGTGATAACATCACAGCTTATTAGGGCAGCCACTGTCATCACTCAGTTCTAACTATGTCATTCATTTATATTCTATTCATATCGTTATCTTTTATCTTCAGCCTTCATCTACGTCTTCATATGTAAGGTTCATATTCACTCTTCCTCTGCTTCCATTATTGATGCATGCGTTCTTCTTTCCTGTCGTTGTGGGTGTTGGTGTGCGCATGTGTGAATGTTTGTGTGTAGAACTACAAAGAGCTTGAGCTGCTCAGGCTGGTTTATTATGGAGGAGTACAGACTGACATCAGGAAAGAAGTCTGGCCTTTTCTGCTGGGACACTATAAATTTGGCTCAAGCAAAAAGGATATGAGCCAGGTAAAACACACACACACACAGACACCACACACGCGTATGTACACATGCACATGCACACATGCACATGCACTCACGTTCTTGTAAACATATTTTTGGGGGACTTTGCATTGACTTCCATTCATTTTCTACAGCCTAACCCTGACCCTTACCCACCAACAGCACTGCTCCTTATGGGGCCCGGGCTTTGGGCCCCATAAGGAGCAGTTGTTCCTCACAGTGTAGTTAGTATAAGTTGGAAAAATGGGCCTTACAAGGTAACAAATACACACAAACACACACACAGAGAGAGAGAGAGAGATGCCCCATTATTAATTTGGAAACCTCACAATTTTCCTTTCATTTCTCTATAAAGATCAATGCAAAGATCAACGAGCGCTACCAGCATGTGATGCGGGAATGGAAGTCCTGTGAGATCATCGTCAAGCAGCGGGAGAAGGAGATGCAATCGGCCATCTTTGCCAAGCTGTCCTCAGGCAGCAGCATAGACAGCCATATTCTGCGGCTTGCCCACAGAGATTCCACTCTCAGTAATGAGGTGACACGGTCCAATTAAATCTAAAATACACATTTCTTCTTTTTTTGCTGTTTGTTCAGTCAGCTTGATCCTAAACACAGAAGGTTATTTGGTTTGTCATTTTCAAGCTTATATCATCACCACACCTGGTGGTGGGTGGATCATTATAACAAAAGAACCTTTGATTTCTTCTATAAACTACTTTTGTTCTCAGAAAGTTATACTTTATTCACGAAACAAAAACAGAGCGGCTGTGGTTGAGTGGTTAGAGCAGTCGTCCTCCAATGCAAGAGTTGGAGGTTTGAATCCACCAGCAGTCACATGTCAAAGTGTCTCAGGGCAAGACACTGAACCTCTCGATGCCGCCGATGTGTGTCCCATTGGTGTATGAATGTGATTGCAAAGCACTGATTAGTCTTTTTAGAATGATTTGTTCAATTAGATTTGTAGAGATCTAGTAGAGTGCTGTATGAATGGGTAAATGAGGGCACAGATTGTAGTGTAAAGCGCTTTGAGTATCTGTATAAGATAGAAAGGCGCTATATAAGTACAGTCCATTTGTGGGAGTTGTGGTTTTTCCTTGGTGTTGTGTTCATGTCTGTTTTGTTTATGTCTCTATAGGGTTTGTGTTTCTTTGGTTTCTAGCCCCATCTTGTGTCATGTTTATGTCCTACATCTTCAGTCTCTGTCTCCTGGCTTCTGTGATCATTCACAGGTGCCTTCACTTTGTCTGATTGGTGTGTCTCTATATATAAGTCTGTGTCTCTGTGTTAGTCTTTGTCCTGGCCTTGTCTACTGCTCACTGTTGATGACCTGTCTCTTTTGTAAGTACCATCTATCCATCCTTGTTTGTTTTTGCTGCCCTGTCAGCTCTTTTGTTTTGTTAATAAATATTTTATTTTTATATATAAATCCTAAGTCCTTGCCTGCTTGCCTGCACAACTGGGTTCACCAGTACCAATTGTGACAGAATGCCAGGACCAACAATAAACCCAGCAGGCAAGCAATTTTTGTTTGGACTATCTGTGGAGGATTATCTTCAACTCTGCAACAAGATCCAGTAGGATATGGACACAGCTACTTCCAGTAATCTGAGGGAAAGGTGGGTGGTCATAGAAGACATACTTAATAAATATATACTTCTCCCTGGGCTGATTGACTTCCATGGCATGGAGGAGCTCTTGGACAGATTGCTGCAGGAGAAGCATATGGTTGGAGCCACTCCTCCAACCATATGCTTCCCTAACCAGTCTTAGTCCTCCACCAGAGCCTGACTCCTCAGCTGCAGAACCAGTCCCAGACTCCTCGGCTGCAGAACATGTCCCTGGCTCCTAGGCTGCAGAGCCAATTTCTGAATGAGGGACTGAGTTCAGAGAGGAGCTCCGGCCTCCTCTTGGTTCCGGCCCACGTCGCCCTCACCACAAAAGCGATCATAGACATAAAAGGCCCAGACCCTCTCCTCTACCTGAAATTCCCCACACACAGCCAGAAGAGCTGTAGAGAATTTCGAGGGGGGGGATTACCTGACCTTCTGCTCACCTGAAGGACGAGCAGGCCCAGAGTCTTTAGAGGCCCCAGAGTCTTCAGAGTCCCTAGAGGGCCTCAGCTCTGCCAACGCCACGACAACCACAGAGGGCCTCAGCTCTGCCGATGCCACGACGACCACAGAGGGCCTCAGCTCTGCCGATGCTACGACGACCACAGAGGGCCTCAGCTCTGCCATTGCCTCAAGGCCTCCAGCGTCCCCAGAGGGTCCCACTGCAGCTGCGTCCCTGGAGGGTCCCACGGCAGCTGCGTCCCCAGAGGGTCCCATGGCAGCTGCGTCCCCAGAGAGTCTCATGGCAGCTGCGTCGTCTGAGGTCTCCATGCCTCCTGTTGAGGTTTCCATGTCCTCAAGGGGTTTATCTTCTTGTCCAGGGCCATTGGCTCATTCAGGGCAGTCATTTCATCCAGGGTCTTCGTCTTCACCTGGGGTCCCTGCTTCGCTTGGGGTCTCTAAGCGGAGTCCGAGCCAGCCCCTGCCGACGAGTCCGAGCCAGCCTCTGCCGACGAAGAGTCCAAGCCGGCCCCTGCTGACGAAGAGTCCGAGCCAGCCCCTGCCGACGAAGAG